TCCAATATCAGTGATGGAGGGCTTGTAACGTACACGCGAAAACACGCACGACTGCATTTTGTTGATAAGCTCGAGTGTACCTCGTGGAGGGCAAATACTAAATTGTGTAATCAAGGTCGCTGCTGAGACCAAAAAATGTTCTTCCGAAAATAAGAAGAATAAATATCAAAACAGTCAACCTTATAAGTATACTAGGAATATGTAAACAATTTGTTAGAAAAAGCTTCCAAAGGCTTTACAAATTAACAAAAACACATTTCCATATTATTTTTTATATTTGTCTGAATGAATATACTTTCCATATTTGTGTAAAATCTTAAGCTTTTTTATAACAGTAAAATAGCAGACCTAGATGTACCTAGAATTATAAACTGAGATTTCTTATTCATTAATATAACATGTGGCTTAATATGATCTAAACGTATTTTTTTTCTATGAATTTTATTACACATAAAATGTACGTTGACTTCAAGGTTACTTTAAAGGCTATGGGATGTTCTATGGGATCACCATTAAAATTATAATATTAAGTATTAAAAATCGGTTTAGATATTCGCGAAGTTATAACGTATACATAATCAAACACCCAAAACAAATCTTTTTGAAGTCGACCAAAGGGATGATAAGCTAAAAACACATCATATTCTACATTTTGATGCAGCAGCTGTACCGAAATTAATATCCGAAATTAAAATAACAGTGACATGCGCGATCCACCCTCGCTTACAAGGTGTCGGGGTAATGTAAGGGCACTTGTACAGGAAATTCGCCTTCCAGCCCGATGAATGAACGCGCTTCAATTATACCTACGCAAGTTATCGTATGTTTTACGTGTTTTTTTCGTTTAAAACAATAAATATGTTTTAAATTAATTTTAATAAAGAATTAAATTTATATATTTACTAGCACTGCCCGCGGCTCCGGCCGCTATCAGATGACAAAAAACCAAATTCTTAGGTTTTACAGATTAGTATACTCTTACATTGCAGTTTTTGCATTTTTTTTTTCAGAAATGAGATATTTTCCCGCGATAAAAAGTATCCTATAAGTTGACCCGGATAACCAGCTATCATCATACAAAGTTTCATCAAAATCCCTCCAGTGGTTTTTCCAGACATACACAGACAGACACACAGATAGACAAAAATTCTAAAAACTATAGATTCGGCCTCTGTATCGATAATAATGTCTATTTCAATGAAATTTTCCAAAAAAATATGTAATATACAGATTCGGCTTGGTTACAATTTTATTAATGTACCTATAGATAGAATTAAAAGATTCAGTAAAATAATTTGCCAATTAAATATAATAAAAAACTTATCCACATGAGCTTAGTAATAGAATGGCTTAGATGAGAATCAATATTACGTGTTCTTGCTTAAAATAAACATTTATTCATAGATTATTATGCTAAGAAAGTTTGTTAAACTTAAAGAACTCTCTTGTTCAAAAATAACTTTGTTGTATAAATCAAGATTTTGTTCAATTATACATAACTCTTAGTACAAATTATGCATCAAAGATTTTTTAAAGGAATGGGAAAAAAGTGATAATATTTAAAGTAGTTTGTTACAGAAGTAATAAAAAGATAAATTGTAACGTTTATGTTCTTTGATTTTCATTTTTCGTGATTTTCGTATATAAGTGTATTGTATTGGACATTTACAACCAAAACTACTTGCTTATGTTATATTTGTCTTTCTATAAAAGCTCGGCCACAGAAATGAAAATATTGAATATAAAGTCAAAACGGAGAAATTTTTAAAAGATACCTATATATAAATATATTAAAAAAATACATATATTTACATAGGTACGGCTGTGTTTCGTCCCTCGAAACATATCAAATAATTTGGGATTCAGATCTAAATTCAAAGAAATGATATCGCGGACACTTTTAAAGTCCACACAATCGTAAAAAAGTCCACTTATAAAGGATCCACAAAGGAATGAGAGAAACAATGCAAATATTATGTAAATTGGCGAAGTTTTTTCGAGCGAGCGCCCGGGGACACGGATTGCTAACTTCGCGCTAATTTACGCTGCAACGGCGCTGCGATGCGTAATATTATTTCATATTTACATATTAAAATTTATATTTTATTTTAAACTACTGTGAAATTGAGAAATACTGGGAAATTCGGAATATTTCTGAATAAAATCAACCTGTAAAATAATACCAGCTTAAATCGAATTAGATAGTCACCATTTTAAATAAAACTATCTTTTCGGATTATTTCGCGGATTTATTTTGATTTTTGGTTCCCGACGTTTTTCCCGTGACCATGATTGCTGTAAAGCATTCGAAACGCCAGGAACCAATAACCAAAATAAATCCGCGAAATAATCCGAAAAGATAGTTTTGTTTAAAATGTCAAATATTCGCGTAAATCTAAGAAAGTATTAGATAGTGCTAGCTAAAATCAGATAAAAATTTGTACAAATCTAACCATGTAAAAAATACTGTGACTTTTCTTGACTCAATGAAAAAGCGCCAGCCATGGCTAATTTTGGGCAGCCCGCGTCCATTTGCTGCCCGCTTACCCGTATCTTCTTAACTGGCTCAAAAATGTTACACCATATCTTGGCCAAATTGTGAATTGATTTTATAATTCGTTTTTTAATGAATAAACATGCAGAATTTCTAGCGTTAACAGGTTGGGTAGTTCTAAGTCTAGTCAGTGTAAGCATATATGAGAATTATAATAACGTTGGCTATGTACTAGTATTGTCATCTATGCCAAAGATCGTGAGTTCGATTTCCATTGAAGTACACTGTAGACTGTGTCTATTAAAAATTAGCACTATTACATTTTTTGTATATAAACAAATTCTACAGCTATTTGTATATAATATAAAGAACTGAATGATCGTTTAAAATATCAACTCCTAACAAGTGTTACTTAACAGCCCCAGCACTTGAAGTTAAGCGCAAACGGCCAAATGGTTTTCCTTGCCGATATAAAATACGGTTTTTCTGAACTGCACAATTACTGAGCCTTGGATTATGTCTTAATTAGATAACTTGAGGCCGGACTTAATTATAACTTCAAAGGTGTAAATCCTAAACAAGACCCACTAATTATTCCAGACATCTCTTTCAGCCTCGGGCTAAGAGAAGCGTATTCTTTTTATTTAATTTCATTCGCCTATTATTTATTTGAAGGAAAAATTGAAATGGATATTGAGGTATAGCGCTTTTATTATTCAATATCTTCTAACGTTCGGCTGTTGGACACCGGAGCATCATTGCGGGGAGGATTAGATGGCAGTAAATTTGCCTATCAAAAAACAGAACGCCCATCTTCACATATCTTTAAAAAAATAGATTCTCAATAATATATAATAAGATAATCATACTATTGAATCATACATGAATTCAATTGAATCATACATAATGATAATTTGTTGAAGCACTCGCACGACATATAAATAGTTGTAAATTCAATTGTGAAAGCGGAACGTCTCTCACCTAAAATATAGACTCTGGCTTAGTTTAGGAGATAGTAGTTCAACTTATTTTTTGACCCTTTTTGTACTACTTGCTTTACTTACTTTAACCCCTTATATTGTCACTTTATATCGTACAATAAATAAATTATTATTATTATTATAGTCAAAGGTGTGACCGGAGCATGAACCGGCTTCACTCTATTACCAAAGCGATACTCCCAAAAGAATATCAATTCTTTACCAAATACTTTTGGTATAAAAATTTTTTATTCTTTAATTGATAGGAAATTAAATCATCTTATAAGAAGCTTTTGAATATCTCTATATTTTGCCTTTTTATTTATATTATTTCTTTAGAGTCTTCCGTTCGTTTTAAAACGTGGTTGTTTTAAATATTTTTAATTTAAAGAAATTTTCTCAAATATCAACCTTGTTAAGATTGCAAGTGTCTTGGGGACTTTTATAGTGTAGTTGAGAAAAATAATGGTGGAAGTCAATTCTATCGTAATTTTGGTAATTTAGTATTAGATGTTTGACGCCCTTGTCATCTAAGTGAGATTCATCCATTATAAGAGGACCCCTGTAGCCTGGTGTGTTTTGAAACGTATCTATCTCTCTTTTAGTAGATTTTTTTTTAATTTTTAAGCATTATTTTGTACAAACAGACGAACATAATATTGACAAAAATATTTTTTATAAAAAAACTCTATAAATCAACAAGGCACAAAATTGGTTCATTATAATACTTTTTTAGATTTACACGAATATTTGACATTTTAAATAAAACTATCTTTTCGGATTTTTTCGCGGATTTATTTGGTTCATTAATTATAGTTACATGTAAAGCTTTTTTAATAGAAAAGTTTTTTGGTTTTAAGAATATTAGTTATATTAAGTAAATATTAATCGCTAAAGATTTTACATTAAATATATACATATGTATAAGTAATAACAGTAGAAGTAGGTGTCGTATATATAGAGATTTTCGCTATTATATACTGTATATAATATATAAGACTGACAGGTGTCACTAATTACAATTTAAAATCATTGTTCGCAATTATTAAAATATTTACGAATACGATTTTATACGTCATCGGCCCTAATAGGTCTGTTTATGTTTAGGTAGTATTAATAATAGTAATGGATGAGAATCATACTCACAATAAATTTTCAGTTTCTGATATTTGGTCATTAAAAATATTGCTATAAGTTATTTCTAAAAACTCCCAAAACTCCCCATATTACATGCTCCATACACAAAGAATTCATTAACCAATTTTAGTATAAATAAATTAACATGTGCATATCGATAACTTAAAAGTAAATCCTTACCATTAACAAAAAAAAGTTTAAAGTTAATTATTTCTAGCATTAGTGACAGTACCCTTGCAGTATAACCTTAATTATGACAATCGATTTACAATTAGCGAAGACGTTGCGTAACACACAGATGAAAACCTTCTTTTTTGTGAAGTCGGTCAATAAGGCTACAAAATCCTGAAAAAATCCAAATAGAATTAGAGTAAGTAGCATAAAGATCAAAATTCGCCTTTCTTATATTCTAATGAAACAAACGGGGAGACCAGGCTAGAGTGGATTATGTGGGGTGACCAAGCGGTTGGCAGCCAGCACACGTGCTGGGGACGCCTAATGAAGTGGGGTTGCGCGCCCCTGGCTTGAGATGCCTCTGTAATTGAAGCTACACTTTCTATTGTAAGTTATCGCTATAAAGTATTTTATTTACGCATGTTATTCTTTATTCCTACACATTTTGTTTTGTAACTTTAATACTATATCTATCATATAATAAAATTCTAACTAAGCCGAATCTGTACATTAAACATTTTTTGGAAAATCTTATTGAAATAGACATTATTATCGATACAGAGGCCGAACCTATAGTTTTTAGAATTTTTGTCTGTATGTCTGTATGCCTGTGACGGAAAAATCACTGGAGGGATTTTGATGAAATTTAGAATGATTGTAACTGGTCATCCGGGTCAACATATAGGATACTTTTTACTGAGGGAAAATATCTCATCTCTGAGAAATCTATACTAAACGTTAAAACGTAATGTAGGAACGAACCCGAGCGGAGCGAGGGTGAGTTGCTAGTTAATTATAATTGTAATGTACTTCATAAGTATTGTAAACTATAAATAAATATTTTTAATATCATCAGCTAAATGTAACGTAAATCAACATTTTGTTTCCTGTATATTTGTAAATGTATGCGTCATCTCCTCTGAAATTATTTTATAAGGAGTTCCCTATTTACCTTGGATGTGCGGAACTCTAATATAATAATAATATAATATTTTTGCTCCTGCTACACTCATCTCCTGTTATGAACTTCGATTCCGGCCCCGGAGATTAGATATCTTACGCTAACTTAACGTACAGTTTCAAATAACTTAAAGTTTTATTGAAGGTAGAAAGATGTTAATATGTTTATATAGATATATACGTACATCAAAAAGTAGTGTCTTTATAATCAATTTACTATCGAATAACTAACGATAGGTACATGTAACTTTATAAGCAGTATATACATTTATTAGGGTATAATTCAAAGTAATTCAATGCTCACCAGATATCGCTTTGAGGACAGCGCCTACCTCCCACCTGAAATAAACACACAGTATCGTTATTGTACATTTTGTTTATAATAAACATATTTTTTATTGAAATACTAGATAAACTCACTATGTCTTTGAGTTTCAATGGTCATTTCGTATGATCTCTATATAATTTCCAAAGTATACTGTAGGATTGTCACCCTCGGTTACTTATGTATTTTTAAATTGACTTCGATTGAATGCCAGAGTTTGAAAAAGTTTTCAAAGTATAGAATCTTAAACAATAATCTATACTCTATACTAACATTATAAAGAGGAAAGATTTTTTGTTTGTGTCGAATAAGCTAGTTTCGGAACTGAACCGATTTAGATTAAATTTAGTGCGAAGATAGTTTGAGACCCTCAGAAGGATATATACGATACGATAGTTTTTATCCCGAAAATCATCCCTTAAAAGGGTAAAAAAAAGAAAAAAAGTTGGTAAGGGGAAGCAACGTGGGGACGAACCTGAGCGAAACGAGGGTGAGTCGCTAGTAATATACAAACGAAGAAAAGTTACACAAAAACTTGTGAGAATGCAAAATCTTTTATTAATCTTGTACTGTATATGTTTACATTTTTTCTTTCTTCAATAATGAAAGGAAATGTAAGCAATAAAATCTAGTTTCTACGAGGGAAAATGGATCACATACTGTAAGATCAATAGTGTGAACTGTGTAAAGCCAACTTACGACACTTGAGTTATAGAGGTTATTGATAGCTTGATATAATAAATATACTAACCTTTGCGATTTCCTTCTTAAGTAAAGTAATAAAAAAACATTATCTTTTTTTTAAGATATTTTATGACAATGTCCAAAGAAGCTTTTATATTGCAGCAGAAAACGAAATAATAAGTAGAAAAAGAAAAGCAAATCAAATGAATGCTAATTAATCTATACTAATATTATAAAGAGGCAGAGTTTGTTGGTTTGTTTCGTTTGTTTGTTTGAACGCGCTAAATTCGGGAACTACTAATTCGATTTGAAACATCTTTTTGCATTAGATAGCCCGTTTATTGAGGAAGGCTATATAATATATATCACATAATATATAGTCTACCTATTCCATACTAACCGTTAAAACGTACTTAGAGACGAACCCGAGAGAAGCGCTCCCGCTAGTTATATCATAAAATGACTTAAATGCAATGTGTAGAATTAATATTTATTATGTTTTAGGTGGTACCTTTGGATTTGGCCATGCTTCCATTTTACCTTTTATATTAAAAAATCCTTTTCAAATCTATTGTTGAGAAATGCTTCCTTAAACAATTTTAAAACCTATTCCTTTTTTTTCTATCATATTCCCCGATTCGAATTTTTCAACAAGTCTCGAGCCTCTTAATAATTTCATTACTTACTAATTGTTGCTTGAAGCTTGCATGATAAACGGAACGAAAATAAAAAGTCTATAAAAGTATACAATATAGGTACATACGTAGTTGCAAAATTTCATCGAAATCTGTTCAGTACTCTCTCGCTTAAAAAAGCGAGGAAAGGTAACAAATAGACAGAATTAGATTCACATGTATAAAATTAAGCATTATATATATATATATAGAAAGTAAAAAAATAAAGTAGGCAAAAACAATGAAATCTCGCAAATAGTAGGTACTGTTTTACTATGATTGTCGATGACATAGTATAATAATATCAACGGTACTTTTTCACGTCGCTTCCTTCGTAAAACTTACAATAAAGACACGACGGCGTCATTTAAACTGAACCACAAACAAGTAGTCACTAATCTTTACCCCGTAACCGAAGAGGTATTCCGTAATAACTTTAAGCAACATGTACATTGCTGGGTTCAAACTATACATAACATACTATTTTCTTTCTCAACAGAATATGAAGTGAGTAACTTTATGCTAATTCTCAGCCAATATTAAAGCAATAATTAGTCGTAGGTACTCAATAACGTCCATATATTAATGTTAACTAAGTTTAATGCACCTATAACTTATAAAAATATATACAGCAATGTATACTAAAAATGTATAATCGATGTAGATTCTATTGTTCTTCCAGTAACGGTTAGACGTCCGTAAGACTAGTCATAAAACGATGAGTTTGAAAGTGGCATTACATGTAACAAGCTCTCAAGTAATCTTCAACAACAACTCAAACAAATATTAGCGTGACTATCAAAAGCAACAAAAAGCCTTCGCAGTAAAATGAAAATATCTGATTTATTTGATTTTAAAAAAATTAAGCATTGAACACTTTAAAAATAGATGGATATTGAGAAATGTTAAATAAATAATAAATACGTTGGGACATTAACACACAGCGCCATCTGGTTCCATGGCAAGCTACGAGGCTTGTGTTATGGATACCAGATACTACACATACGTAGCTTTAAATAAATACATATTATAAATATAAATACCCATGACTATCAGTACAAATATTCGTGCTCATTGACACACAAATGAATGCCCCCAGCGGAACTCAAACCTGCGACCGCCGACGCAGCAAGTAGGGTCACTACAAACTGAAACAAACGTGCCATCATCGATTAACTCGCTAACTGAGAGACAATACACAGCCTACTGCTGAATATTTTTTAAATAACGCTTTTAAGTCCTCAGGCTTTTCAGTTGCAACATAAACAAAAACCGTTAGAAATGAAAACAAAGCGGGCGATTTAAGAAACACTCTAAAATGGCTCTACAAAACCGCCTCCAGGTCATCTGACGCTATTAAAGCGTATTGTCTAAAGCCGCCACAACAATTGCTTATTCAATTAAGTAACGACAAAAAATTTCTAAAATATAATTAATATTAACTTAGCCTTAATAAGTTGGTTTCTCTTTTTAATATGCTTAATTAACTTTTATTATGAGCTGATTTGAAAGCTTGTTTTTTGTAACTTTTTTTACAGTAAAGAAAATTACAAATATACTTAATTATATACAAAATAAATGTATATTTAATTATTACTGTACAAGTCATGTCAGCTGAGCCATTGTTTTTTTTGATAATGTCCCTCGTGGCAAGCTCCGTTGAGGTTTCAAAAAAGTGTTGTAGTGTCAAATATCTAAGAGTGTCAAATACCTAAATTTTAATAATTTTAAAATCGGTTCATATAGATATGTAAAAAAATCATTAAAGCATTTTTTATTATAATTTTACTTTATGCATGTAACTTTTTGACTCGTCTCGTTAGTACAGTAGTATGTGTGGCTACAAACTGCCTCGGTGGTGTAGTGGCTAGCATGTACGGCTGTTCACCCGGAGGTCCTGGGTTCGAGTCCCGGGTCGGGCCAAGTTTAGTTATTGAGTCTTCCTGTATAGTAAGTCTCAGTAACAGCCCGGAGTTGGGAAGTTGGCGGTGTTTCACCCCCATGCCTCGGAGAGCACGTAAAGCTGTCGGTCCTGCGCCTTAACTCTCACCGGTCGTGTCGAGTGGTCGTCCCACCGGAGTATGAGAGTGATAGGAATAGAAAGTGCACTTGTGTCTGCGCGTACACTTGAGCACTATAATATCTCCTGCGCAGTTGGCTAATCTCATTGAGATTGGCCGCCGTGGCCGGAATCGGCTAGGAGAACATCATGTGTGGCTATATATCCAGAGTTCCTTAGTTGGAGTCCTAGGTCTTGTAAATAATAATTGAGTTCTTCAATCAAGAAATTGTCAGTTACAGCCCGGACTTGAGAAGTTGGCGTGCCCCATGTCTCGGAGGGAACATATATTTGTCGCTTGTGTGCCTGATCCTGTCGAGTTGTGACTCTAGAGATATTTTGAATGAAAAACTATTCTATATCTCCTGCAGATATTACTTGACAATGATATTAGCCGTGGGCACGGATGGAAATCTGACTACTATATTAGTTTTTTAACGTAAATTTTTCCAATTCACTACTGTGGTTTTTTTTAAGTCTTGATGTATTGATGCTTGATACCATTGGTATACCTTACGCAAGATTAGAACCCGTCACCTACTATACAAGTATATGTGCCAGACCGTCTTTTAGGGGATAATGTACAAAAGCTGAAAAACTCAAGCTAAAGTGAATCTCACAAACAATAGAATATACAAAAAAACAATAATTTGAAACCAAAAAAGCAACGTCAAGACTGCAACGCTCGAGGTCAGCTGTCATTATAATAGCTTATTGTTGTCATTGTGGCTATATTAAATTGTTTAATTATTTCAAAGGGTTTCTTAAATATATTTAACTTATAATTTTATTAAACCTCTTTTTTGTTTCGTTTGGCATTAAAATTTTCTTTTTTGCTCAGGGCAAAAATTTTCTAATCTTCTATAATATAAAAATGAATCGCTGAATGTGTTGGTAAGCGAAAATCTCGAGAGCAGCTGAACCGATTTCACTGATTCTGTTTTTAGAATATTCCTTGAAGTACGAGGATGGTTCTTACGGAAAGAAAAAATTAAAAAATTGCCTGGAAAATTCTAAAAACAACACTTTTCTATACTCCATACATAAGATTCGGAATAATACTTAAAAGTCAATTTGAACTTTAATACCATACCATAAAGTTTAAGTGTTAGTGGAGAGGTTCCGGGAAAATATTGATGGCGATTCAGTGATGTTAGAATCGTATAAATATTAATGTCAATATTTGTCAATATTATTAACAAAAAAAATTAAAATTTATATGGCTAACGCTGGCTAATAACTATTTATATCTATTTAAACGTACCTAGCGATGAACCTGAGCGAAACAAAGGTGAGCCGCTAATATATATTCTAAAAATCGTTTTTGAAGAGATTTTAATTGGGTTATATTAAAAATTGCTTTCTTCAATCAACGAAAGTTTTTAAATAACTTTATATTAAGTACTTTGCGGACAGCAAAATAATATCACACGTATGTAACTTGTGTTCATCTTAATATATAGATATCTCTTTTTTTCTGCTTATAACTTTTTGAAAATAAACGTAAACATAAAAGTAGCTCAAAATCACTTTAAAAAATGTTCCATCCTTAGGGATAGAATTTACGCAGGACCACCCTTGCATTGTGAATTGAGTACACCCAATTTTCGAAGTCACTTAATTTTGCATTTATTATTATACGAACAACATTTAGAACTTGATTTGACGTAACATACAGACGTAGAAATTTTTGTGTTTGTGATTGCAAAAATTTAAATATAACAAAATGTAATTTAGTAATCATTTCAAAATGTCGATGCTCTCACCGCTCTGTCTCTAGTGTCGCCATAATCGATAATACTCGTATATTATTACAGAGCGGCAAGAGCACTCTCGCATGTGCCACCGGTGTCGCTTAGTGTATATACAGCATTATATCAGAACGACACTCGCGAAAAGTCGCGTTAGCTGCTTGTGCGGCACGGCTTGTCGCGGGTCTCTGCCGCCGCCGACAGCGCGCCGCCGCTAAGCACTCGTTCGGCCCGGTCTTTCCGCGACCTGCTAATTTATCACTTTCTAATTACAAATGCTTTTAAAGAAATACGTGTTACAAATATTTCTGTAGCTTACATTTTAGTGTTAAGCTTTCTTACTTGTGATTTTTTGTGTTTAAAAGTTTTCTCAAGTTTTGGGTAAAAAAGTTATGGTAAACTTTGTAGCAAAATCCTGTGTTTTTGACGCAGGTGTATAATTAATTGTTATTTTATCTATATAAAAATAAATCCCGCTTTCTCTTGGTCATGTCATAACTTGAGAACGACTTTACCGATTTCATTAATCTTTTTTTTAAGTTTCCTAATACTTTAAAGAAGGTTCTTACGGAAACAAAATTTAAGAAAATTGCGCAGAAAATTGGTAAATTTATCTCATTTCCACGGGAAAACACGTTATAATACGAGTACAACCCACAAAAACTCATCATATCTATATGTATATAAACATATATAGTCTATCTATTCCATACTAACCGTTACAACGAAACGAGATTGAGTCGCTAGTTTTGTATAAAATATGTGTGCGTATATAAAGGATACATTAAAAGGTCGGTGCGTCTGCCAGATTTGACAAGCCAAACAGATAAAGTATTTTAAAACTAAAATTTCTTCTAGAAGCGAAAGAATCAAATGTACAAAATATTATTGTTGTCGTATAGTGGTAAAAGTAAATATCTTTACAAAATATCTTTCCTTATTGAGTAATATTTTTTCTATTTAATCCTACTGAATAACTAGCAAAATCATATCTTTTTAATGGTAAAGTCCATTAATAAATCCTACACAAAACCCAGTAGGTACATTAATCGAGTAGTAAAATTAATTTATGTATTTACTTCTATCGTATCAACGGTATTTCTTATAGAGCCAGTCGGTATCATGGTAAATCAATGGAGCTGGCCGTGCGCCAGGCGGCTCCGATTGATAACCTCACCCTTTTATTGCTTTGGGCTTATTTTATGCCGCTGTCTTTTTGCGACTGACGAAACCGATTTACGAGTCTTTTTATTTTGTTAAAATATTTTTATTTTAAATATTTAATAAGAAAAACTATGTAATTTTGATTATTAAATTAAAAAAAATGTAGACACTGGCACTGACTTTCTATTTCTCGACTTTGAATATAGATATTTCTATAGCAAGAATATTTTTTATTAGAAATTACAGAAATACGACATAAATTGTTATCACGAATAAATATCGAATTCGTTACTCTATCAACTCAAAGCTACTTATTTAATTTTACTTTACAAATCTAGTTTTTACAAATACAAATAATTACAAAAAGTATTTTAATTACGAGTACTCATAATTTTAGTCATAACGTCACCTCAAATAATAAAAACATTGAAAGACAAAAATTTTCCAATGTTCTATTAAAAATATGTAGGTCTACAAAAGGAAGCTAAAGACTGACAAAAGCTCGGCTCGTCTTTTTGGTGCGCATTTTAATGAACGTTCGCAACAAACAAACACTCACAAAACTTTACTTAAATTCGTTTAAAAAGGTAAAAATCATAAGAAAACTATTGCAAGTAGATTTGCGGATTCATTAAGGTTCCTATACAAAAGGTTTACAGTCTGAGGGACAGTCATTAAAAATTCGAAATCCACAACGAAAAATAGAAGTTTTCTTAATTAAAACAAATTTTTGTAAGGGCTAGTTTAGAGCCGGTGGGGTCTGGGGTGGGGGAGACCGTAATTAACGTCGTTGTGCGGTAATTGCGACTTGCTTTGGAGTCACGCCTCGCCTTCGTCTTGAGATGCACAGAGTATAGCCAGCGAATTAAGCACACGCATTCACTTATAAGCGTACATATAAAATGTAGGAACCGTACGTGTGTTGGAATATTTAATTGCGAATAAATGCTGGCATTATACAAACGGGTCCTTTATGTAAGCAAGCGGTTAGTCCTGACTTCTTGTATGATTTTAGACGTTTTCTTTTACTTTTGTTAATTTTCTGAGGAGTTAGAACAATGATATTTTTTTATTTAAAAATGTAGACGGAAAAAACGTACT